CCAGATTTCATAGTAGTCTGACTCTGTCTTATCTTTAATCGTCATTGTTAGTCTATTCATTTCTGCACATTCCAGTATTTTCCCAATCACCTCTCCCTCTGGGGGGGCTTTCAGTGCTTTCCAATTTTGTGCAAACACAATCCTGGCTGCCGTAATTATATGAATAATTAAATATATTTTCTCTTTATTGTATTTCTCTCTCTTAACGTATCAGCAGTTCTCTCTCTTCGTCTTTCTGCTTTCCTGCCGAAGGGAAATGTCTTCTAACCTAACATTTTCCACATCACCTGGAACTGTTGTTCACATCCTCCCCACTACATGACCACCTGCTTTCAAATTTGAGAAGGCCACGCTCTACCATGTTGGCTGGGAATTCTGGGTGTTATCACTCTTATCAAGAGTGATTCTGGATAATTTCTGGAAATTCCAGGACTTTTCTGTAGCTATGATATTGAGCTCTCTGGAGTGTGGTTTTCTCCTTCCTCGCAGCGCCTTTGCTTTGATTTTCTTGGGTGTTTCTTTTTTTCCAGAGAGGTGAAAGAGGAGTTTCTACAGCTTCTGCTGGTAGGAAAAGGGAAGCGGTTGGTGGCCCGTCTGCTACCACATCTGTCCCTGGAGAGAGCCAAGATGACCCTTGTCAATATTGTGCAACACCTAGCAGTGCTCATCAAGAAGGACCTGTTGGAGGAGGTATCTTCTCGCCCTAGTTCTCCTTTGGCCATTATCCAGATATTTGGAGATCCTTGCACAGGGGGTGGGATTTTTTGCATGCAAGGCAAGTGTTGTGCATTTCTAAGAACCACCTGACAGAACAACTTGACTTCTTCTGGGCCAAGGTCTTCAGAAAACAATTGGACAAAATCGATGAACTTTGAGTTTGAGTTGATGTCCCAAGCTTATTTCGTGGGGTGGCTTACAATCGGAATTGGTTCTGTGGTTCGGTCTGTCGATATTGCTAAAAAAAGGGGGTTGCATATATGCACCATAGTTGGTTTAGCCATGATTTCTTGAATAAACTACATCTGGCTAACTACACTAAACATATGAAGTGATAAACCTGACTTACCACGTCACAAGGGTGATCCATTTAGGATGCTGGGCCAAAACAAGCAACAAGGTGGTTTAGTCCCATGGGTGAAGCCAGCTTATATACAATGGTTGATTGGATTCCACAGTATTTCTGGCCTGTGGATGCAATAATCTCTCCCAGAGTGGAAGACTCGAGTTTGATCTAATGTTTTGTCACTTTGCGCTTCTTCCTGCATGTCCTTTTGACTCTGGCAGACCCTCTCTGTCCTCTACACTCCTCTCTGTGACACCATTGGGCAGTTGACATTTACAGAGTTGATGGATGTCCTCCAGGAACTCACCCAGCTGCAGCCCGATTCTGTCAAACAGTCCCTCGCTTTGGTCTTCAGCAATAAGGTATGGGAGTGTACAAATCCATACCAGACTCAGATGTGAAGGATTTTTCTTAGCAAGTACATCTAGGTCAGTGATGGCGAACCTTTTAGAGACTGAGTGCCCAAACCGCAACCCAAAACCCATTTATTTATCGCAAAGTGCCAGGGCTGCATCAGCATTGTGGTGCCCTTGGGGAGGGGGGACAGGGAGGTGCCTCTGAGTGCCGCCTCTGGCACGCAAAAACTGGGGGCGCAAAAATGGGCCACCGTGCTGCAAGGCACAAAAACGGCCAATGCCGCACCGCAGGGTGCAGATACAAGGCGCTGCATCACGCAAGAACGGGGCGGGACTAGTGAGTATCACACTAGCCCCACCCCATTTGCAGTGCAAACTGCTTCCCCCTCCCTTTTGTTCCAGTTCAACAATGGTTGGTGAGCTCTGCTCTACCACCTCTACTCGAGCTTGCTAGTCGGCCGCTTCGCCTCCTTTGCGCTGGGTGGGGCTCCTGCGGCGGTGGCAGCCTGATGGACCTGCTGCTGGCGGTGGTGGTGCGCGTGCCAACAGAGAGGGCTCCGAGTGCCACCTCTGGCACGCGTGCCATAGGTTCGCCACCACTGATCTAGGTTGTATGTAATTCAATTCTTCCCGTCTTGATGGTGACTAAGTTGAGTCCAAGTGTTTTCTTAGTGGGTTCCTAATCTTCTCACCCTCCTTCCCCAAGTTTGCCATCTCGCTGCTGTACCTGCTCTTGAGCCACGGTGAGAGGTGGCTCTCTTCGGATTCATCCCCAAAGCCTGATACTAAAGACTTGGAAAAATGGTGAGGAATCATCTGGTGAGCAGAACGATCCTAGTCTGGTGGGCGTGAGCAGTGCTGGGTTGCCTACTGTTGCTCTGTGCCATTCTTCACAGGGTGGACTTGGTGCTTCTTGTTGCAAGAGAGCTGTCTCAAGTTCCCAAAACTTCCATGGTGGAACCCCTTCACCTTCCCAGCAACCTTCTCTTCCTCTTCTGTCGCTACGTGGACAAAGACATTGTGAACCGCTTGGATGTCCAGATGGACTGAGGATTATCCATGGTTAAGGGAATGTATTGTGTGAAGGCAAGTATATCTGCAAGGGTTCGACATGTATGGCAGGGCAACTCTAGATGAAAGCTGTAGAGTCTTTATAGGCCAGTCACTTGACAAGATGTGAGGGACTTCTCTGGTAATTGCATGCCTCCTTTCAGCTCTCTCTGCTCTTTGATCGGCCATGTAACCTCCAGGTCTTGCTGAACTACAACTCCCAGCATTCTTAGCAAGTATAGCCAAGAGTGGTGGATTCTAGGCCTGGTAGTTCAATAACATCTGGAGGTCCAACAGGTCCACATCTTCACCTCTTTCATAACAGGGGACATGTGAACTCATTGCTCTTTTAGAAATTGGGGAAGGAGGCCCTTGACCAGGGGTGGGGAACCTTGGCTCTTTTATGACTTGTGGACTTCAACTCCTGGCTGGCTCAGGAATTCTGGGAGTTGAAGTCCACAAGTCATAAAAAGAGCCAAGGTTCCTCACCCCTGCTCTTGACCATGGTCATGGGAAAGAGGACTGCTTACCTTTCTATGATGCCTATCTTAATCTTCCCTTTCATTTGACGTTCAGAAATTTTCTAAACTTAGTCCTCCTTACCAGCAACGCGGGGAGATCTTTTACAGCTTGCTGGACCAGAAATCCTTATAATAGGAGCAACATTCCAAGAAGACATCTTCCTTGGCCCTGCCCTGGATTGAAAACGAATGTTTCTACATGCGGACCAGACACTGTGGCTACTGGTGCTTTGATCTTGCCTGCCCATTGAATAACTCTTGAAGATTAAGATGGACAATCCCAGAGTTTTGTAGAAATGGGGCTGGTGGTGATAGCCAGTTTGGTTGTAGTGTAGGCTAGAAGCCAAGAGACTTTTAAGTTCTAGTCCCCTCTTAGGTGCATAGCTGGGTAATATTATAATAATAATAATAATAATAATAATAATAATAATAATAATAATAATAATAATAATAATAATAATAATAAATAATAATAAAGTTGGAAGGGACCTTGGAGGTCATCGAGTCCAATCCCCTGCCCAGGCAGGAACCCTACACCATTTCAGACAAACGGCTGTCCAGTCTCTTCTTAAAAACTTCCAGTGTTGGAGCATTCACCACTTCTGGAGGCAGGTTGTTCCATTGGTTAATTGTTCTAACTATCAGGAAGTTTCTCCTTAGTTCTAGGTTGCTTCTCTCCTTGATCAGTTTCCATCCGTTGCTTCTCGTCCTGCCTTCAGGCGCCTTGGAGAATAGCTTGACTCCATCTTCTTTGTGGCAGCCCCTGAGATACTGGAAGACTGCTATCCTGTCAACCCTCGTCCTTCTCTTCATTAAACTAGACATACCCAGTTCCAGCAACAGTTCCTTATATGTTTTAGCCTCCAGTCCCCTAATCATCTTTGTTGCTCTTCTCTGTACTCTTTCTAGAGTCTCAGCATCTTTTTTACATCGTGGTGACCAAAACTGGATGCAGTATTCCAAGTGTGGCCTTACCAAGCCATTGTAAAGTGGTATTAATACTTCACGTGATCTTGATTCTATCCCTCTGTTAATGCAGCCTAGCACTGGAAGGGTAAAACCACTTTTGAAAAAACACACCAAGCAAACTGCAGGGACTTGTCCAGGCAGACATCAGGAGTGGACACCAAATCAAAGGCACCAAGAAAAGAAAACAGCCATCAGTGTGAGATTATAGACTCAAACCTGTTTTGTTTGAGATAACCGTAGGTGTCCTTCTGCCCAGCCAAGGAAGAAGGTGCTTAATTACTGAATAACAGGATTTCAGGAGATGTAGTTTTGATAGTGCTCTGCCAAAAGAAACAGTAGAACATGATACCTTTAAGCTGCTTTGCTTAGAGTTCACTTCTCCATTGCTAGAAAGTGTGTAATGTTGACTGACCAGCAATTGTGAGCTGCCTGTCTAAAAAAAACCCCTTTTTTGACTCATGGAACCATAGTTTTCTAGGAACCGCACAGAAGCAGTTTCCCGTGAACATCTTTGACAATATTTCTAGGCAAGGATAATTATGAAATAACTGCTGTAACTTGGTAACCCTTATTTTTTGTTTGGCTAGTCTAGAGAAAAGGACTGGGGTGGGGGGGACATGATAGCAGTATTCCAATATTTGAGAGGCTGCCACAAAGAGGAGGGGGGGGGTCAACTTATTTTCCAAAGCACCAGAAGGCAAGAAAAGAAACAATGGATGGAAACTAATCAAGGAGTGAAGCAACCTGGAATTAAGGAGAAACTTCCTAACAGTGAGGACAATCAACCAGTGGAACAGCTTGCCTTCAGAAATTGTGGGTGCTCCATCACTGGAGGCTTTAGGAAGAAACTGGACAGTCACTTGTCTGAAATGGGATAGGGTCCCCTGCTTGAGCAGGGGGTTGGACTAGAAGACCTCCAAGGTCCCTTCCAGCTCTATTCTGATTGATCAATCAATTGATCGATTGCAAATAATGCGGTGAGGGAGTGACTAACAGATGAGATTGCAGAGTTGCAGAAATTCTGGTGGAATCTCAGACTTGCCTTTGTTTTACAGAAGACGCCTTCATGAGCAGCTACAAGACTTGGAACTTTGCTGGTCCTGCCCATGAGGATTTGAACCAGTGACTCAAGCAGCCAGATGCTATTACAGATGTATAGGAAGTTATTCCAGAACTGGATCCTTAATTTAACACAGATTTTGTTTTTGTTTTTGGTTGGGTTTTTTTTGGTTTGGGGTTTTTGTGTGTTTTTGTTTGTTTGTTTTTGTAATACTCTGTGCCAATTGTAAATATCTAGTGCTGGCACTAGAGCGCACGCCACACCAACATGCTCAGCCTGAGTAAGCAGACATAGGCTGGCCTGTACAGTGAGCATTTGGGAAACTCTGATGGGGAGAGAGGACTTTATTATTTATTGTCTTCTGTATGTTCAGCACTTACAATATATTAAAAGCAACTCAAAACCTGTCTGGTATCTTGACATGGGGGGGAGGGAGGTTGCGGTTGGGCAACTAGGCTTGATCTTGTCCAAGATAGTTTGAACACGCTTATTGCCTCCAGAAAGGTGGATACTTCAGCTCTCAAAAATTCCAAGAGAGATACTGTCAGACATGAAAGACCAGGTCCACATGTGAAGGTCTAGTTAAACTGCTTTATTGCTACTTGTGGCTATGCACAGGAATCTTCTCAACTAATGGACAGCATCTGGTTAAAGTTAGATAAAGCTCAATAGCACTCAAAGGGTGCTAGAATTGGTTTGCTTGTGGCCATGTAGGGATTCTAGGCTGATCCCTCTTTTCACCCCACCCCCAGGTTCTGCCATTCCTTCTCCTACAGATACAACCAGTAGCAGACATTGTCTTCTCCCCAGGGGAGTCTGCAAGGTATGGTCAAAAAAAGTCAAGTTGGTGTCCAGGAAGGTACAACTGAACTCTTCATTTTCTATGCGTGGATGCACACAAAAACTACAGATTCAGTCACACTATCTAGCTGCCCTATGGACTTGTTTAATCATATCCTGCAGATCCCTCTGCTTCTTCCCATCAGCTGAGCCCATCCAACATTTGAGACATCCAGAAAAGCTTCATTGTGACTCTTAAGATCTAAGAGAAATTGCACTCCAAAATACCTTGGCCTCATGTCCTTCAAGATTTCAAAGGTCACTGCAAAGGTCATCGGTATATATGTCTGGTCATTGGTATATATGTCAACAGCCAAAACCCAAAGTCAATATGTAGAGGTCAGACACCCTGCAATTGTGCAGGTGGCCCCTCCAGCTAGATCATACAGAATAGACTTTGTCAAAGCAGTAAATTCAAAAAGTTTAGAACGGTTGGGAGGGCGGAAAGGATTTGGGTAAGGAGGCCCCAGTTCCCTGTCTAGTGTGCAAAATCATGACCATCCTTGCTGGAAGATCTTTTTTAAGTGTAATAAATCTGAAAACTGTACTGCTGAAGAAATTGCACATTCAGCTATCTTGGATTCCTTGTGTCTCTAATGCGGTATTTCTCAATCTCAGCCACTTTACGATGCATGGACTTCAGCTCCCAGAATTCCCTAGCCAGCATGGGGAAATGCATATAAATGTAGCATGGCTGGCTAGGGAATTCCGGGAGTCAGAAGTCCATGCATCTTAAAGGGGCCGAGATTGAGAAACATTGCCCTAATGAGAGCGGTTTTTCCCCCTAGCCCAGAGGACCCCAAGCTTTTGGGCACCGGGGACCAGTTCCGTGGAGAGAGTTTTTTCCACGGACCGGAGAGCGCATGGTTTTGTGTGCTGCCTGTATCCCGCGGATGGGGCTTTACTGGTTTGTGCGGATCAGTACTGGTCCCCAGACCGGGGGTTGGGGACCCCTGCCCTAGCCTAACAGGGAAATTGCATAATCATTCCGGTAGCTCTTTAGTCATTGAAAGAGTTAGTTGCATTATAATTTGGTTTTTCCTTCAGCTTTGCCTGATGTTGCAACTGCTCGGCTGAATCACTGCAGAGGCTTCTATAATCTTATCAGCCAAAAAGTGGAGCCAGTTTAGATCTACCACCCCACCCTTTAATTTCCGGTTGCAGCTGTTCGTACTGAATAGAGGAAAGCATAACTTCTCATTTGCTCTTTTCTGCATATTGGGGTGCTGTCAACTTCACTGCCTTAATTTTGTCTTTGAATAATAATCTATCCAAGCATCAAAGGAAGAATTTGCACTTTGTTCCTATGCTGAAAGGACAGAGGTCAGCACAGATTGCAGTCTGTTGTAAATGTCCACCGGCTAGAAATGTAGCTGTGCACAAGACTAAGTGTTTTAAGAAGTCAACAGGTCTCGCCTGAACCTGGCTTTTATTATTGCTACAAAGAATACACTGAAATGAAATGGCAAATCTGTTTGCTAGTAAAAATGAGAGAATTTCCACCAATTGGGCTTCTGCCCCTTTTAAGGCTATTTTCTTACTCTTAAATTGTCCGGGCTAAAATCTACCTCCCTGCCAGCTTTTAAGTGCAATGGAGTGCAACACAAAAC